GCCATGAGGCGTGCAAGCCATGTGCGGGGATACCGTGCCAAGAGCGGTGCATCTCCTGCGTCTCGCTATTTCCAGACTCTCGAACATCTCTCAATCCCTGCGCAGAGCCGCCGGATAATGTTTTGACACTTTGACAGCAAATGTGCTGTGAAGATAGTCACGTCGTCTTACCCCCGCGCCGACGCAGGGGCAGCGCAAAGTCATCCGAGTGGGCTGTTCTCGACTTGCGACGGCGCACAAGCGTCGAGTCCTTCTAATCCACCTACAGTTCCCCGCCACCACTCGCCAGTCTCCATCACCAGAGACACGGGACGCACCGCCCCCAAATGCGCCCGGAAAGCCCAAGACACTGGGAGCTCTTGCCGACTAAACCCCTTTGCGGATCGAGCTTGATGCCTGAGCCGTGAGGCGACAACACGAATGGACTGGAGGGTGCATACAGCCGTCGAAACAGCCCAGGCGCATCCGCTCGCTATCTCTACTGCCACTCATGGCATGATAGCATCATCATTAGTGCCATGATGCTGCCTTCCAGCAACGTACGACAACTGCTTCGACAGGGAAACCATGCTTCGCCCTATCTTGATGCCTAAATCGAGTGTCCTGAGCCAAATGCGCCCCAGCTGGTGAGCCACTATGCAGCGACTTCCAATGAGAGTCTGTGATACTGCACCCTCCGACCGACGACGGCTTTCTGCTCTTGATCGGGACCTGGGCCTCTCATCAGCGTTCCGGTTGCGCGGCAGCTGTCGGAACAATCACGTCCCTGGCGCAGGTGCGGTAGCACAACAGCAACCTACTACTGGTTTTTCTGTCCGGCCTCCTAACAGAAACCACGATATCCAGAGGTATGTGATTCGTTCCTTGAGTCTTTGCATTTCGTCGTTCATCTCCTTATTTGTTTTGGCCCCCAACGCTCAAACTGGTGGGTCCGCGATTAGCATCCTCACAGCTCACGTCCACATGGTCTCGCTTCGTCCTTCCCACAGCTTAGCGAACGTGCAGCCCGCGGAAGCAGTTCTGGCACAAAAGTTGGCTTGGACGCATCGCGATGAGGTAGCGATCCGCCCACTACTAGCAAGATTGCTTTTGATTAGGGGCTTAATCCTGGGGCTTGAACCTACCCGTCGGTGGTAGGTGCTAGAGTTCACGTACAGCGCAGTGGTGGCTGGACAACTGTGCACTGCGGCCCACCGGTCAAGCTGAGAACAGGGGAGTACATATTGCCAAGGCACAAGGGCTCTCATTGGGTGGCTGACAATGCGGCTCTGCGGCTCAAACACCATAAAACACTGTAGAGCATGGCATCGAGGGACAGAAAGACGGTACGAAAGATTACGGCAGTGCAACTTGACACTAGCTTTTCTGCTTTGCTGCCTTGGTCTGTCACACCCCCCACTTGACGCTCCGCCTCTTTTGCCTCCTTTCCCAGTCCCTGTACTTGGGTTACTTCTGGCCGGCAGAACTACGACATCGAAATACCTTGACCACTCGTCTACTTGAAGGACTGTTTTCGCCTGCTCAGCAAGATTCTACAAACAGAAGATCTTGTATCTGTCGAACTTCTACGGCACTCGCATTCCCCCATATTCTTTAGCTGCTAAGTGCCGTGCGATACTTAGTCGCTATCGCTACCCCTGCCCGGTTCTGTGCAACGACTGAGCATCAGCCATGGACGCTCATCAGTTCCGAGACCTGCCACAAATTGAGACGATGGACGAGCCGCGCTATCCCGTCTGGGCGACAGAATACACCAACTACATGCAACCATGCAAAGAGCATGCAGTGCGTTTTCATATAGAAGAAGAGAGCTACCTGGATGATTTCGACAATGGTATTGTCAGCATGCAGCCAATGCAACGCTTCCTGTACGAGCAAAGCCCCCTTACGCCAGGCATGCTTTACGCAAAGATCCCGTTCCCAGACGGTCGATACGAGAAGCAATATGAGCAACACTGGCCTCCGGCAGACTGCTTTCGCAACGCATCACCGGATCGTACTTCTTCTGGAAACACTAGTCAAAACACCCAGGACGAGCTTCGGTCACCATACATGTGCCATAGCATCCCATATGGAAGCCCGATGGACTACTCTCATCTTCCGGTTTCATACCCGGCAGCTGAGTATCTTCAAGGCGGAGCGTTCGCCTGCGAATCTCACGCCGAAGAGCGTAACATCAGCCTTCGCGAGCTAGAGTACGAGCCTCCGGTACCGGAAGCAGTGGCTGAAGATGTGGAGGATGTTGTCATGAAACAAGAAGCTACCCCTGATCATCATCACAGTGAAGTCAAAGAAGAAGCTACTCCGGATTATACAAGGTACGCAGACTCTGGTATCGGACACTCGGTACGAGACGCCCAGTCTGTAGAGCCTGTTGACTTCCCTGAGGAACCCGCTTCGGACTCCGACTACAGTCCGACAAGGTCTAAGCGAAGAAGGTCTACAACGTCAAGCGGTAGCTCCGGTCGCACATCGAAGCGCCGTAAGCCGATTCGTAGAGACTCTCACGCTCCAAGTCCCACGGACTCTGTCAGATCGGAGAAGAAACCTCGTCGGTCCTCCAAGACACAAAAGACCATCACAGATTCAAGCATTCAGGCTGAAGACCGTCGAGCTTTCCCATGTCCGCTCGCCGGCTATGGCTGCACGTCCAACTTCTCTTCCAAGAACGAGTGGAAAAGGCACGTCAGCACCCAGCACATCAAGCTCGGCTACTGGCGCTGCGATCTGTGTACCCCATCGATCGATTCCAACGACCCACAGACATTATACCATAACGACTTCAATCGCAAAGATCTATTCACTCAGCATCTCCGCCGCATGCACGCTGCTCCGAAAGACAAGTCCTGCCGCACCCAGAAAGATTACCCAGTCTGCGAAGAGAACCTCTCGGAACACCAAGTGCGCTGCAACCTACAGCTACGAAATGCGCCACAACATTCGAGCTGTTTGTTCTGTGAGCGATCCTTCAATGGCATTACATCCTGGGAGGAGCGCATGGAGCATGTTGGACGTCACTTCGAGAAGGATTACAAGAGTCGCGTGGATATGCTCGACCCTGCTACGTGGCACAGGGATCAGAGGCTTGAGCGCTATCTTCTTGATGAAGGGCTCATTGCGAGAGAAGGTGCAGGATGGAAGATTGGTGATGGCAAGCCGCGCAGGAGTGCTGAAACGGACAGCGAAGTGGACTCAGAAGAAGACTGAACCACTGTGAACTGTCAAAAGGGACTCGGATTACATACATGGCAAGGATTAGGTTTCGGATACTAAGGTCACAGCATTCTACGACTGTCGTTATAGTTGATACCCGTTTGGGCGTTTGGGGATACGTCAAGCACATAGCATCGTTTTACGGCCGTTCACGATTTCCGTAGTAGAATATCAAAAGCGCGTCATCTTTGAACAGTCTACTTTCAGTATCTGTCTTGCCAGCTCACTGCCTCCTTGTCGCGATACCCATGTTGACTTTTCTCTACTCACTTCCCCTTGACATGTCCGACAACCTACCAAACAGCGCCCAGCCACAACCTCTCCCTTTCGCATACTCACAGCCCCAACACACCGGCGACATTCAGGCGGCAACCCATACCAACGGTCCTGCACCCCTTTTGCCCCAAGACAAGACAAACCCGACGACACAGCCATAGGCACAGAAGCATTCCCAACGCCTACCGATCCGGGAATGAAGAGTAATCCAGGGACTTCAGGGACTCGCTTCACCGGACACGCGCTTGTCCTGCAGTACGATCCTAGTTTCCTCACGTGGGGGTGGATGACTGGTGGGTAGGAGCAGAGAGCGGGAAATTGGGAAAGTGTACAGGGGGAGCGATCGGTAAGTTGGGGCTATGACAGTATTCGGGATTGTACAACGGCGATTTCGCGTGATAGCGGGGGCGGAATTATTTGGTTTCGGTCTTGATCTATGTAGACGGTGTTACTTGGATGTGAGTATGATTTCGTCCGCTGTACTATCTGCGTTCGTGATGGTGATGTTCATTGACGCGACGCGACGAACACTTCCCCACCCCGTCACAACCTACGAGTCGAAAACAAGGCAAAAGTAGGCAAAACGATCAACGTGTCATGTCAATCTACCTCTGCCTGTTTCCCTCCGTTCTGCCTGCCTGGGGCACAAAGTGAGGCTGAGACATGCACGCTCGTTCCTTCCTAGACGGCGTGCAGATACGAGGAGGTCCTCCAGTGCTGCGCCCCGCTTCCTCTTTCTCGAAGCATGCTCGCTTACCACCAACCGGCTATCGGGGCTCATCTGACGTTCTGTGATGATGTGTTCATGGATAGAGGACGCGAGATGCAGGTGTGCGTTGTAGATCGCGGATTGATGATCCGCTGGGTTGCGCGATGCTATCTGTCCAGGTGGTGTCCGGTGAGAGCGTGACTGTCTGCCTCGTGCAGCGGCATTTGGGCGCGCTTTCTTTGCGAGCAAGAGTCGCAGCTTCAAACATGCGCCACGCCAATGTGTTGTCTTAGCGATGCGTGTTTCTGATTACTTTCCCTTGGAGACCCGAGATAGTCTCGAGTATCGCGCACGTGCGAATCCTACATGCACGATCGCTGGGTGGGATGATCCAGACGTGCGAACGCCAAATCAAACCATGGGCTCGGGTTGCGCAACCTTTGATCCTTCTACTCTCGAAAGCTATCTCGCAAAAAACCTGTGCTACTCGCCATGAAAAAAAAGGTTGCCTGCATGTTCCGCATTAGCGCCTGTTTCATCGTTCAGAATCGATTGTTTCCCACGGTCGGTCAAGCAACGCGACTGGGTGTCTCGTGAAGAAATTCGGGGTAGCGCGGCGTATGTGACTAGCAGGAAGGGTTGTGTGAATGATAGGAATCACCTATATCATGAGGGAGGCTGGCTATCAACATGACTATTGTGAAGTAAGCTCGAGCATCCATTAGGTATTCAGAGTACTCTAGCAAGTCTAAAGTACAGTCCGGGCCATCCGGAGGATACACGGGCGACATAAGGGTACCCATTACTTCTCTCTGATAGGCAACGGCCCCATGACATACTCCATCCTCGCAGCGGGCTCCTCATCAAATGTCTTTTGCAACTCTGGGTCCACATTCTGAGCTTGAGCCTCCTCCTCTGCGTCCTCTGCAGCCTCTGGCTCAGAATCGTGGACATGGAACACCTCACACATCGCCTTCCTCATTCCCTCTAGCCGGTCCATGACGTCATCTTCGGAAAGATTTTTGGGAAAGGGTACGATCCTATCTTCGCTTGCGGAAGTCAAGCAGTCCATCAAGAACTGTTTCGGCAGGTCGTGCATCCATTCTTTGACATCCGCCTTCTTTCCGATCTTCACTATGATATCGACAGCGAGGTGACGTAGTGAAGAGGCTGGGGTGGAAGCTTTGTATATATTGAAGATACACTTGTACGGGAGATCGTCGGGGTCGTCGTAGATGCGCAGGAAGAATTCGTCTAGAACCGCATTTCGGAGCAAAATGATTCCTAATTCGTTGGCGAACATGAAGACATGAATGAGTCTACCGAAAGAGATTCTCTGATCAGTGGTATCGTCCGGATCGAGTTGATTGAGGTAACCGGTCTTGAGGAATCCCAGGTAGATGCGAAAATTGCGCGGTGATACATCGGGGAGGCTGAAGTACTCGGATGAGTCATCCAGTCAACATTATGTCAGTAAGAGTTCGCTTGGTGAGGCTTGTGTGATGTTGTGCTGGATGTCTTCAAAGTGAAGTGATAAGAGAACAGATGATGTAGACTCACTGATCGAAGAAGTAGTCAGACGTGTTGCGTAGTTGTCTCAACGGCGCGTCGAACATTTCGCTATCGCTGCCATAGCCTACTTCCAGCGATATCTGCTCGGGACCAAGCCATTTGCTAAGATCTCCGGGGAGACCGCTGCAAGGTACGAAAGCCTCCGACATCCTGGTTCCGAGTGTTGACGATGTCTTGAGTCGCGGTGTGCTCCGATGTTGGAGCTACGGGAGAGAAGACGCAGAGTCGCAATGGCCGTTATGGATGTTCAAAAATCGTCAAAGCGCGGTTACCTGGAAGCAAACGGTGAAGTGAAGGTGAACACGCGCACTTTCGAGGAGCAGACATGGAAACGCGCACCGACAGTTTTGTGTAAAGAGGATATTGGCGGCTAGACCGAGAATTTATATGGATCTACCTCATACAAGAACGCTGAACAGGTCTGCAGACTACGTTGAAACAAGAACTTGCAAAGTAGATGAACTAACGTTAACGTAGGCTCTAGGAAGTTTCTTCTTTCCCCTCGGTTAACGTGGATTTAGACAAGAAGACCAGACGACGATATCTCATAATTGACGAAACGAGGGTGAGAATTAGGCGTTTGTGACCCTGAGGACTGACATCGAGCAGCACTTCCTAACGTACGTTCATGTGAGACATGATGTGACGATCCTACGACACTTTAGTTACCGCACAACACACCTGCCTACATTGAACACCATGGATATCATCTAGCTAGCTATCCTACTTCATGTCAACTCGTATCTGCGAAAGCCCCCATATAGACGCCTCGCTGTCCATCCCACATACCATGAAGCGGATGCCACCGATAATACATTAGCTAAGTATAATCAACGCCCAAACGACACACAATGATGCAAAGGTATCAGAAAGCAAACGAACGCCAAAACAGTGACATGTGACATGTGACAAAAAGAGTCCACGAGTGGCTTTCTCTTATCGACGTGGGCCGCCCATGCCGCCCGTCATGCGACCACCCCCAGAGTTGAGACTCTGTCGTACGATCATTTCTGCCGCCTGTGCAGCAGCAAGACGTTCCTGTTGTTCGTCAGTAAGCGTGAATATGAAAAAGGAATGGCGATGCGTACCTTCTGTCTGCTTCTGTCCTTCAGGTACCGCTCAGCCTCGGGCCTCATCCTCAGTATCCTCAAGATCATGTCATCATTAGGCTCCGCCTGCGCTTCCTTTCTCTTTTCTTCCTTGGCTTTCTTCATTGTGCCAAGATTGCGCGACAGCATGATGGTCTTGTGTTTCCTAGTCGGCATCCCGACGAGCCCCGCGGCACCACCAAACTGGTGGCCCATAGCAGGCGGCGCCGACATGCGGTTCAGGCGTTGGGATTGTTCTTGCTGTCGTCGTGCACTAGCTGCAGCCATTGACTCGGACGTACGGATCAGGTCTTCAGTAGCTTCAAAGTAGAAGAAGTTGAGGTTCTGCAGCTCGTGATATTTGGGTGACTTGAGCACGTCCATGGGTACACCCTCAACATTCCCATCTTCATCTACAGCGTGGAAGAAGTCGAAAAGCATCTTCAGCCACTTGAACACAATGTCAAGCTCTTGTTGTGTCAGCGGGCGCTGTTGCGAGAGCTTGTCGGATAGCGGAGGTACGAGTAGCGACTCTATGGTCGCGAGCGCCTCTTTCCAGAGTCTTGTCATGACCATAATCATTGCAGCGTCTGTCAGCGTCTGCTTCATGATCGCGAAGTTTTCGTCAAAGTAAACGAACAGAGGACCGAGAGCTTGTGTGACGTCCTGCTGTGTAGGGCCTTGAATGACAGACATGGGTCTGGCTTGTCTGAAGTTTCCTAAGTAGTTGGTCACCTTCGATGCTACGCCCTTATTGAGCAGGGCGTCAAGTGAGCGACGCGAAAGCTTGTAGCCGATGAACGATGAAAGCTGCCATTGTTAGCGCAAACCTTGCTTTTTGATGGCAATTTGCTTACCTTGTCCGTGATCTTCCGTGTCATGTCACGCTCAGTCCTCTTAAGTGTTCTGAATGACTTGCCGAAGTAGAACTGAATGTCGTCTCGCTCGCCTTCCATGCTCACACGCAGCAACAGACGACCCTGCGTGTCCAAGTCAAGCCAGTATTCTCGGGGCATATAGTCCCGGAAGTGTGATGGATCGAGCTTGAGAGACGTCCGACCGACGCAGTCATGGTCGCCCATAGCGTCCCAGTCCCAGATTGTTGCAACGACGTTCAGCGGGCCATTAGTCGTGATGTCAATTGTCTCGTCCCAACGAGGGTTGAGGTTGCGGTAGATGACCCGAGTCTTTGCCAGACGCTTCTGATACTCATCACCAAGCACAACGTATGGGTCACTTAGTCCATTCATGTCGCAGGCTTTTAGATCTTCAGCCTCGATAATTTTGATGGTGAAGACGAAGTTGTTGTTGCGAAGGCGTTGCGTCGGGGGTGGGGAATGTTTTTGGATGACTTCGGCGCACGCATCGACGCCAATTTCGCGCTCGAGCTTATCTAGTTGCTGCATTGCATACTCAATGTTGTTGAGTTTGACAAGCGACTGTATTCGTAAGCATAGAACACATGATTGAGTTAGATACTTACCTCTGGGTAGAATTGAAAGGGCTCGACCTTCTCTTTCTGGCTGTAGAAGTCTTTGACCGTCGACAACCACTTCTCAGATTTGGTCTGATGAGCGGCAGCCTCCTGCTCGGGGGTCAAGCGATCCATTTCCTTGGCGAACTTCTGCTCAACAAGTTCGCAGTATCTCGCGAGTGCGACACCGATCGATTTCGATACAGCAGTCATGAATTTGGCGTATTGGACATCGTTATCCCAGTTTAGTGAGACAATCTGCTCGATACTCTGATTGAAGGACCGGAAGACATCCACGACCGAGACACTGTGGCGCTCCTCGTCTGAAGGAATGGGGTTCTGCGACTCGATCTGGAATTGGTCTGCCTTGAAAGCGTTGTCAACCCACCCAATAAGGTTTTGATCCGTCATCTGAATCCATCTCCACACAAAGTCCTGTAGCTGATCTTCGATGCTAAAAGCAAAGTTTTTGCCTGGTAGAGCATCGCTGTGTATGCGGCGTATCTCAACAAGCTCTTTGTACAAGTCGAAGCCATCCTGTACGGGTACATCCTCTCCTTTGCTTTGAGCAACGTCCATGATCCGAGCGACAAGGTCCCGCGCATCTGCGGCGTAAGAGGGAAACATCTTCTCAACGAGGCAATTCATGGGACTAGCACCCATAACCTCTGGGTTTTTGCGGTAGCGCTTCTGTATCCGCTCGCATAACTTGACCACAGCACGACCCAACTCAATGACATGGTAGAACTCCCACTCTTCTTTGGTGTCCGGGATGTGCTTTGCTAGAAGCTCTCGATACACGTCACCAGCCTTGTCCCTCAGTCCGTGACGTAATTGTTCAGTGAACTGATCCATATCTTCTTCGGTGCCGGGGAATGTTGGGTCGTCGTAGATGTGGGTCTCAAGGATGTACATTACCGGTCCGAGTGCAGGCGGTTTGGTGTCGTATACATGCATCATCAGCTCGTACAACTCTCTTAACAGGCAGTCGTGTAACGTTGACAGAATCTGTTGGTTGAGAGTGTAGTCCTGGATTGTCCATTTCGTTCGGTCAAACAACGATACTTGTACTGGAATATGGCTCATTCGATTCGACTTCTTGTCAGCTGGCGGTGGTTCCTTGACATAATTGAAGGCAGCATCGAGGGTGTCCAGACTGATGTCTTGATTAATGTACTTGTCGCGTATGACGTCTAGGAACAAGACAAGACGGGAAAACTGTGGTATCCTCCATCGGAGGGCTATCTCATTCAGTAGCTCAGCCGATTGTTTCGACAGTAGCTTCACAGACGGGTTCTCGTTGGTAGCTTCGGACGGTTCGAGATCGTTGTCCGCCAGGTCATACGTCAGTGCTTCATTCAGTATCGCACGATAAGTGGCACGTGGATCTGAAGGTATGAAGGTATAGGATGAGCTATCATTTGGGTCGTCGTTGAGGCTGAGCCCATTCATATCCACAGCCTGGTCAATGACATATGAGGAGCCGTTCTCAGACGACATAGAACCCTGCCTCGAACCGTCTGAGTAGCCGGGGTCCAAAGAAGCATTGGGCTTGAAGTGTGGCACAGATCCGGGTGAACTCTTTGCGAGCTCGGGGTTCGACTGTATGATTGCCAGTATCATCTGCGAGAGGTCTGGCACCTCTTGGTTCTTCCATGCCTCGTACGCCTCCTCGGTATCGAAGTCGTCACTGTTCAGCGTCTTCTTGGTCATGAGACTGAGGTGCGCCTGGTATGTCTTGAGATCCTGCAGCGCAGCCTTCTCCGTCCATACGGACTTGTATCGGTTGATATCGGCTTGTACATCGGAGTACCCTACAGCGAAGATGCGTGACACTACCAAGACGAGGGGCATGTCCTTGACTTCATAACTTCGCGGAACCTCGACTTCGACTGTTGTGCCACCCTGACCGCCATTGCGCTGGTTCTCCGCCGCCAGATCTTGGTCGTGTACGAGTAACTTCTTCTCCATCGTGGCCAGCCGATGCGCAAGTTCGGGTCTGTCCTTTTGCCAGTCATGGTCTTTGAGGCAAGAGCTGACAAGACGTAGGAAGAGAGCGACGTGCCGATCTACCATGAGCTTCCAGCTGTCATCTCCGGGCGCCTTCCCCTTTTGCAGTTCCTTTGTGGCGTTGGAGTAGAAAATCAGGAGAAGGTCCTCGACTCTCCTATCTTTGTCCATGTTCTTCCTGAACGACGGGTCCTTGAATGCATTCAGGAAGACGGCAAATGTCCGCTTGACTGTGGCATCCTGGAACTCAGGCATGCGCTCCTGCCCCATCAACACCTTTGTGATCCGTTTGTCCAGTGCAGCCATGAAGTCGCGGGGGAAGCGCGTGCTCTTGGAGTCTCGTATGAGGGAGAAGTCCTTCATGAGGTCGTTTATCGAGGTCGACGATCGCTGGACGTGTTTGGGCGCGGCGGGGACATGTTGCACCCGCTTCTGCCGGGGCTGGAGGAGGTATGCGAGGTATGCCGCGCGGAGGGCATAGAGATAGGCATCTTGGGCCGTGACGGGGCGCTTCCCCTGGGCGTTGGCTGAACTGCGTCGTCGCAGGCGGTCCTGGGCCTGGAGGCTGTTGATGCGGCGATTGCTCCCCCGGGTGCCGTCCATGGTGGAGTGCGTGGGAGGATTCAATGGCGTGGGTGGAGGAGTGCGGCCGCGGTTGGGCGCATGTCACGGCGGTGGTGGTGTAGTGCGTGCTCCCGGGCTGCAGCTGCCCAGTGGGATGTCCTAGCGGGGTCGTGCCTTCTCTTGCAATTTCTCCTACAGCGTGGCGACTTTGTCACTGGCCCTGAGCGGTCGTGTTCACTCTCGACCGAGGGTTGCTACTGCCGGCGGTATCTCTGGGCGTCGCGTCGTGGCCGACGTGGTTCCTGGTGGCGCGGAAGATCCACCGGAGTGCGTCACACGCTGTTGGGTGCAGGGAGCCAGGAGCCTCATATCGCGCTGACGGGGTCCGGCCACCTTGAAACAACGTTTTAATTAGCCGCACGTTTCTTGCTTGATAGCGCCATGTCAGCGTCGCTACTGAAAAACAGCCGTTTTACTAGTAGCGATACCCTCAT